CCTCGAACCGAACCGGTTCAATGCGAATACATGTACCATTACACCCCTATTTGCCATTGTTCTCTTTTCCACAACGACCTCAAGTGATTAAGGCCAATAACCGAACCAGCCTTTCTAATCAATTTATTAATCATATTTTTATCATGTATAGTGATAATAGTTTAACCACACAACTTTGCATTCCATTTGCGAATGTTTTGTTTTGGGAAACTCTTAATTGTTGAACTATGTTGGTAATGATGGGACATCTAGTATGCCTACAATCTATATCTGACAATCCATTTATATATAAAATATTTATTTTACATCTTTTAGAATGAAAGTGCCGTTTGTAAAGAGTGCTGTAGAATCCCAGCGGAACCTCAGAGAATGATTGAAGAGTGAGACTTTGAATCAAAAATCTGAAAATAAAGCAAAACAACGGGGAACAAAATAGTGAAGTAGTCCTGATTTGTAGCCATGTTTGTTATTTACCATTGGCCGCTAGTGGGTTTTAAAATAGAGGCACACAATGTTTTAGCGGTCGGATCCCCTCCCAAGGATTTTTAAAAATGCTTTAAAACGTCTTTTTTGGTCACTTTTAGACGGAAAATTTACAGAAAACGACACATATACAGCAAGATAACAAATATAATATGATTCACCTAGCCCATCACCCTTCTGGGATGTCCTTTAAATGTCCGTTTTAAAAGAGCACATTTGGCCGTTTAGTGAAGCTGACTCCTAGCCTATATATTAGCTTACCGTACAGTTATAGGTCTTTCATTTTTAATTTAGTTGTTGTTCAAATGATAGTTTGATAAATTTGTTTGCTATCAAATATTCAATATCTCTACTCTCCATACGTAGTAAGTACATCAGCGGTAGCAGTTCAGCCATGTTACTTTTCTCAACACTCCGAATCGCTGAAAGCTAAACACTCGATGGTGATTGGCTAAATTTTTTTTTACCAAAGGAGACACAAGTCTCCAGCTATGGATTTGCCTCCCCCTCCCTTTCTCTATCCCCTCAAAATTTGGGGTAGGCTGTGCCTCCCTTGCCTCCCCATATGAGCCGCCACTGTTATTTACGGCAATAATCAGACATTCATTCAAATCTTGAACAAATGAATTAGAAGAATATTACTCCAGCCCTTAATGACGTCAATAACAACAGTTCCAAGTTGTTTAATCAACACCGTTTGAAATGTCGTGACTAGCGAGTTCATTTCTCCAACGATGCATTGAACGATGGTAGTAAGGCAGCTAGTTATGTCGTTGAATGGGAAACACACCCCAGATCAATCAATTTGCACAGTGTTGCACTGTCTGTCATTTGAGACAAAAAATGCGGATTTCTGTAGTAAAACTTGAAGTGTGAGTGTGCAGCCTGGTCCATTTATGGTCCTAATAAACTCTTATGGTATCCATATTATCAATCTTATAATATTCGTATAAGTCTGTAAAGTGATCGTAAAGGTCGTTGGTGCGGCTCCACATGTTCACTGTTGGACTATACTGACACCAGTTTAGGTTTGTGGAGACCTCCATGGATTGCAAGCCTTTGCTCCAGGGAGAATGCCAATGTAATAAGTGTACTGGAAGTTGCCTTGGATAAAATCATTTGCTAAATGACTGCTTACTGTAATAAAAAGAAATTGCACATGGATGTGTTTTTCTCGAATACCTGAAGAAAGAGCTGTCAATAGCTTTACCTCTGTCCTGGCATGAGCACGAGTCCTAAATAATTAACTGTGAGTCATTAAAAAGCTTTAATGCTTGCGATAATCTGTATATTCGCTCTTAGATCGATAGCTAATGACCGTGACAGAGTCAAGTCTAGCTAGTGAGGATGTGAAGTGGCTCTATAAATGCATGCCACTGTCATTATGTTTCAAGGGGAAATGTGTTATTACAGTGGCACAGAAGGAAATTGCTTGAAATAATGAGAGAAAATGTTCCTTTTTGCATTTATTGGTTGGCCTTGCTTTAAACTCGTGACATTGGTTGAGCTAATTTTGCTGTATTGGGATGTACAAGAAATGCCGTCACACTGTAGCCAATCACATGACATTCAGAGAGAAAATGAGGAAGCGCTTGTAAAGAAGATGCGGTGTGGAACTGACCCTCCTCCTCTTTAGTCCTGCCAGTCTCAGTTACTAGTATAGCCCTATAAAGCTTTCCAGCACATTTCTGCCGTCAGCAAACCTGTAGAAAATTAATCAGGATGAGTGAATTACCTCGGGAATTATTGCATAATATCTGGATTAACTGGGATTTTAGATCTAGTAATTATATTTAGTGGTCCAAAAAAAAAAAAAACAGAACGGTAATAATAGTAACTTTTCCATTATTATTTATTTGGATAAATACTTTTCCTGGTAGTATAAAGAAAAAAAGTAAATTCTTCATATGTGTGATATGGTCACATACATTAGATGTTGAAAAACTTTCCTTCTACTTCTACTTCCTCTTGTTGTTATTGGTAGTAGTATAATTGTTATCATTATTATTATTTTTAATTGTTTATAAATTACATTTACATTAAAAAGTGTATATGACCAAAACTTTTGAGAAGGTTGAGATATTCATTGTAAATTGTATCGTCCACTGCTAACAGGGACAGAAAAAAGGTAATATTCTGGGTAACACTTTACAATAAGGTTCATTAGTTTACATTAGCTGACTACATTAGTTAGCATGAACTAATAATGAACTCCACTTATACAGCATTTATTATTAATCTTTGTTAAAGCTGCAGTCCATAGTTTTTCCTCTTTGTCGCCATCTCTGTTCGAAATCTGCAATTGCAGTTATTGGCGGAATTATCAGCTTTACGTGGGTTGTGCCTCGGCACGGCACAGCGCGGATGAATCCAATGTTTTGAGGAGAGTGTGCAGCTGTCAGTCGCCGCGCCGGTGTGGATACTGGCATTCAGAATCACAGATTATTATTTTGGAAGTATGACCAACACAAGAATTTTTACCGGAAAATGTCATCTGAACTAGTAAGAAACATCAACTTTTGTTCTGACCAAATAAGGGAAAAAAGCATTGCAGTAAATCGCGCTGATTAAATCTAACAATCGCTTATCATATCATATGTCAAACCGTGCAAATTATACTTTGTTCTCAAATTGTTAATGTTCAATATCAGCATTGTATGACTACATTTAATGCCCTTCCGATATTATCCTTGTTTTTGCATGGGTCCGTTGCGGTCTCTTTTTTTCTGTAGCAACTCCAAAGTCTTTTGCATTTTACAGTGGGTGAGTCTCCAGTTGTCACTGGTGATTGTCGTTTGAACCGTTCTGGATCCGCCATCAAATTAATAAGTTTAATTATATCAAGTGCTGTGAGAAAAGGCCATAAATCTACACCTCCAACATCCTCACGCAATATAGCCTACTAGCCGAGACTCCTTCTTTATGTGTACAGATGTGTGTGTACAGATGTGACGTAATGACGCAAAGACATGCTCGAATCTCCCGCGGAAATCCAGTACCACTGGAATTAAAAACATTATTACAAGCTTACAGTTTTGAATCGAGCGAAGGCAAGCAGAGAGTTTAAAACACTGGCTGGTTATGTACTTGCTCAACAATTTATTTTGGATAATTTTTAACCCAAAAAAGTTACGGACTGCAGCTTTAATGTTAATTTCAACATTTACTAATACTTTATTAAAATCCTGCTAACATTAGTTAATGCAATGTGAACTAACATGAACAAACAATGAACAGCTTTATTTTTATTAACAAAGATTAACAAATACAGTAACAAATGTATTGCTCATGTTTAGTTCATGTTAGTTAATACATAATGTTAACTTAATGAACCTTATTGTACCATATTCTGGGTGGATTTTGGTTCTCTAAGCTAAAATGCTGCATAGAATTGATGCAAAAATAACAATCTGAACAATTTACACTCAAATACACAGACTACTAGTTACTAAGTGACAATGCAGTTCTTTCTTACAGTCTTTTGACCCTTTCAATCTCTCATTTCAGTCTCTATAATAACATCTTGTAATATTACTCATGAAATGTTTTTGTTTACACTGACCTCACTCTGAGAACTGTAATCATATCTGTTCATGTTACTGTATCTAATATCTTCTATACAAGAATCAAATGCACTTTATCAAAACAAAGTGCAATGTATGCCTCTAATATCACAGCATGCTCTAAAGTTGTTTTCCTTTTCATCCCATGGAGAGCTACTAAAACCTGCACAATTGGCTCTTTTTTTGTCTATCTCGCTGTAATCACATCAATTTAGTCAGAATCTTCCTGAGAACAGCGATTTTTTTAACGCAGTGTGATTTAATAGGCAGATGACCACTTAGTGTGTGTGGCGACCCCATTAAACAAGATCAGGGAAAATCAATGGAACGTGTTTTCTCTGAACACAGAGTCAAAATATACCACTTACTGTGTTTTTGTTATTTTATTCATATTCTGCCTCATGTTTCTGATCACCAAAACTGCAGCTATGAGAACAAGAGTGGACCAACATCCATTCAAATGCAAACAAAACTCAAATGCCAAAAATAAATTAGTTAGCCTACATTAGAGCTTGTTGTTGTTGAACATATGAGTAGCTATGATATCAAAACAGAGAGATATCCCTGATCTATTAATATACTGATAAAATTGTATATCCTTACAATTATGGGATCAAACAAGGACAATCAAAATATACTTTCATATGACATATTATACAGTATATGAATATGAAAACTTCTCCTATGTCATAAACATTCAAATCCATGAGATCTAAATGCGAAAAAGCTAAAATAATTGTCTCACTCGTGATCGAGCCTATTCTATTCACGATATTATATTGCAGTGGCATCCAGTATATGCGCCAAACACTTAATCGTGAAGTTGATCATATCACGAAAGCATCTCCAAAACGGGACATGAAGTGCAGAAGCCCACAGCCGCACTTTCCCCGAAACACGTTATCACACACACACACACACAGAAACCCCCGCAAAAACAGCGCTCACACTGACCCTTCTGCTGCTTGAAGGACTGTATGGATCCAGAATGATGCACCATGGTGATTCCCGATAGAGATCCTCGCGGACAGAAGATGAAGGAAGGATACATGGGAAAGTATGGAGCGATCGCGTGGGTGTCTCTCCTCTGCGCAACCCAACACCTGTCTAGCCTCGCGCGCCACCATCCGGGGCTGTTGTCATGGTTACGGACTGTAAGAGGATGGATGGATGGACACCCTTCAGCGGCTCGATAGAAGAATGACCCGTGTTCTGGAGGGCGTTCTCGCGGGACGTGTTGTTGCTCTGTTTTTAATTGGCGGACACATGCACATATGCGTCAGACTGACGGCTGGCTGTTAAGTCGTGTCCTTTGCGACTGTAAAGACGCGCTGTCAACTGTGTCAAGTTAAAAACAGTTCAACTTTTAAAAACACATCTCCCATGTGTTCTGTTTAAGAACACGTGGGTATATTAGGAAAAGAGACTGACTCGTGACGATAGGCTACTCAAGGGGGGTCGTGTCAATGACATAACCAGGGAATGCAGAAATTATCATTTGCCAGAGAATTTCGTCCATAATTTTTCATTTGTTAAGGCATAGTTTTCACCAGTAGTGTAAAATTGGAAAAGTATGGTGGAACCCTGGTTAATTGTTTTTACGCCAAAATATCACAGCAGTTATGCTTTGAAATCATATTATTGTATATGACCTCTTTCAAATAGTGTAAGGAGGCGTCCACTCTTGACGTGTTCTTGTGTTAAAAAAACAACATAATGTAGCCTACTCTCACTAAACATCTTTGAACAGAGCAACAGAGAGTTTTCTTGAAGATTTTATTGGTTATTAACTAATTAAATTTGTGTTACTGTAATAAAATATGTCAGGTTATGTCCCCTATAATTTAAGGCAGGGTAGGTGATTTGTTCCAGAAACAATTAAGAGATGAAAGTCTCTTCACATCCTCATAGCAATCATCTTAGTAAGGGACTAATGTATTAATATGTAATGTATATATATAAATATATTGTCTGTGGAAGGCGTAGGACCATAAAATGTTCATCCAAACATTGCATCCGGTCCGAATGCAATGATTGGATGTTCTTACTGCCTGTCAGTGTAATGCATTTGTATCCCCGCGCACCTGCTTGCGCAGACATCACATGTCGTCAGTCTGTTTCATGCTATGCTGAGTTGTAGACAAAGCAGTCATCTTTTACAGTTCCTCCTGAACCAAAACAATAAGCTTATCCTGCGTTCACACCATACACTGCAATCTGGAAGAGATGGAAACCCTTGACATTATCCTCGGAGCGTTTTGTGACTCAACTTTATGCGTTTCAATGTCAACATTATCAATGCCGAAATGAACCTGCAGCAGTCAGGTGGTACAGGTCAGAGCTCTTTAAGTTATGTTCATCATTATGACATGAGGTAGTTTAACACTTTTGTTTGCTTTGGAGACGCTCTGAAGGGAGGGGGGGATTTCATGCTTTCAAACACAAAACTGAGAGTCTGAACGGGGCTTATATGTGATCAGGCTAATAGTTGCTACAACGTTGGTTTCCACTGTCAATAATTACAATAGGACTGATGATAATAGGTAACAACAACTCACCCATGGCAATTCATTATTATTTTAAAACAATTGGCAAATTGGCAGCTAATTTGTATCAGTTCATCCAATCTTATTTATTTCGTAGGATCTGTTTAATCCTCGCTGATGGTTAGCTTTAGGGGTTAGAGGTAGACCTATACAATCTCATAGAAATTTGTAACTATCGGCGGCTAATTCGTATCTCATTCGTCTTCATCCTGGCGGACCTGCAGACTTAAATTTTTTATTTTTTTTGCATTTTCATAAAACCTAATAAATTCATTTAAAATCTCCACTTCCCATTTCAGAATCTACTTCAATCGTGCCATTTCCTATGTGCATTAAAATGTGAATTAAGGTCTATTAGACTGCAGTGTTTAGACACTAATCATTTCATGCTTCCTGCACAGCAAAGCAGAGCTCCAGTATGATGGTCAGTCCAGCCGGACAAATTACAGTTGGTCTCAGTAAAAATCATTAATTCGTGCTGCTGCTATCACAAACCCCATGATCACCGTGAACACAATAAAGCTGTTTGAAATATTAGGGGGTCATGTGATTCTGGGTCCAGTCAGTCAAACTGACACGCTTTTTCAGACCTTAGTTTGAGATCTATGAGACACTGGCGGGACAGATGTGTTTCAGTGCACTGCAGTCTATTTAGTCCTGACTGAAATGTCACATATTTTTCTTCTTCTTACACTGAAAAGAAGCCTGACAGCGCCGGGGAAAAAAAGTATAAGAAATCAATATCCATTTAGGTTAGTGCTGACACCTCAAACGTGAGTGACAAATGACAGAGACATCTGCTGAAACCAGCAAAAAAAGAATTAATCATAAAATAATTCGCACACACACACACACCCACACACACACACACACACACACACACACACACACACAACCACAACAACAACATTTAGACTGTGGTAGAATGAATATAAAGGATATCCGCGACACTGCACTGATGCATATAGAAAGATACATTCATTAGCTCATTATTATGACTGCAAATATTTAGGGCTAGTGATTTACCTGTCACGCTAAGTATAAAACTACACCATATGACTTGCCACAATATTTGTTCATCAGGATAGGAGTGATATATCATATTATGCAGCTTGTTGAGGAGAGGTGATCTATTGTGTTCTATCATCCACCTATGAATGATAAAACAGACATTACAAACCAGACAGATCATAGAGACTTGGGAGTTGCTACTACCTAGCAAACATCCATACACCCTAGAAATCGCCTACTGTAGCAACACCGCAGCAAAGCCCCTGAACACAATTCAACAGCAATATGTTAACAACCCTAGAAGACTTTGCAAGGAACACATAATATGTACACATGTATAAATCATGCACCAATGCACTTACAACCCCTCAATTGCATCAGCACCCTACCACCTATGAACACATTAGCAACACATAATAATGCTCTTACAAGGCCTTTGTAACTGCATAGTAGTGCGCTAGTGACCATGCAGGCACAATACCCTAGGCACTATGTGCTGACAACTAGTCAGAATACTGTACCTGACTAACTACACAACGCCCTAGCCATCACCCAGAACATCCTAGCAATCAGTTAATAACACATTAACACCAAGCAACACATAGCTAATAATACACAGTGTACTTTGAGCACAAATCAGTTAAGCAAAGCTAGTTGAGCACAAACCCCGCCTACAACCCTCACCTTATACTAGTCTGTCATCCTGATCAACATGACATCATGACTTTGCGTAAACATACACGCCACTTTCAATTCAAGTGGCGTGTTATCTATACGCATTTTGAGCTATCCGCGTGTATGTCCACGCCGAAATCTTTTGCGTGTATGTCTACGCCATTAAATGTCCGAGTGATTCCGCGTGTATGCGTACGCCGTTAAATGTCCGAGCGAAACGAAGCAAAATCTATATCTACATCTGTGGAGCGATATTTCTTTTCCTAGGATGGTAGGAGAAGACTCATAAATGGTATTAACCCCAGTGACGGGTAGGTTTAGGGACGGGGTTGGGGTAGGTCATATATTTATATATACATAATACAGTAATATAACGTTAAGTCAAAGGCGTTGATAAACACGCTGAAAAGCGATTATGCGTGTTGATAGCACGCCAAAAATGGAAATACGAATTGGCGTGTCATACATACGCCATTTCATGAGATCAGTCTGTCCTGATAAATGGCAACCAGATTAACCACATAGCAATACACTAAAGGGCAGTCAAATTAACAAAATTGTGCTTATGAAAATTGTCAATAGTGTAATGATGTATGCAGCACAATTCACATAGTCACTAATAAACCAAATATTAATATTAGTCATTAATAAACCAAATAGCTTCCTGTTGGTCAACATCAGGTAGGGGAAATACTTTGCCCTCACGCAAAATTCTTGATCGCATGGTTTCGAATTAAATGTACTTTTGTATAAAATGACTGTGAAAATTCGTCGAACAACAGTAAATGTGATCACAACTTAACAAGCACGTAGAGCTCCACAATTTCTTCAGAAAATGTAAAGATCTAGTTTAGTAGAGAGTTTTAGGTTTGTCCTCGAGGGCCAAAGAATACACCAGAATCAATGCAAGAATGCAACAGCAATGATAAATGGGTGACACTTTAGAATACTGTATCTTACTTACTGCATAACTAATATGGAATTATTAAAGAACTAGTAGGTAATTCTTCATTAACTACTTCACTGCTGTTAACTACTAAGAAAGATGTTTTAACTAATCAGTATGTAATAGAATTTTATGATTGTGTTAAGTAACAGTTAGTTAATCAATAACTAATGAATTATGTCATACCTCCTGAAGAACGTCTCATGGTTACGTCTGTAACCCTAGTTCCCTGAGAAGGGAACGAGACGATGCGTCGATGACGCTTTGGGAACGCCTCGCGCGTTTACGTCTGAAGCACGTATGTCAACTAGTCCAATGGAATGAATGAGCGTCACGGGCGGGTGACGTCATGACCAGGAAGATATAAAAGCACATCCGGTGCGTTACTCGCGTTAGCTTCTAGAGCCGAAGCAAAGTCGATCGCAGGGATGCAGGAAGTATGGCAGGGCGACGCATCGTCTCGTTCCCTTCTCAGGGAACTAGGGTTACAGACGTAACCTGAGACGTTACCTTTCGAGGGAACTCGCGATGCATCGATGATGCTTTGGGAACGAGAATACCCAATACCTCATACTTACAAAATGCCAGATGACAAATCTGTCGGCAAACTAAGTAAGAAGCACCTGGGACCCTGGGGCAGCATCCAGGTCCAGGCTATAAAACCTCACAAATGTGAGCGGTGAGGACCAGCCTGCCGCATCACAAACCTCCTGAAGGGAGACCCCTGATAATAAGGCTTTAGAGGCCACCATACTTCTAGTAGAATGAGCTCTGACCACCAAAGGGCACGGCTGGCCAGAGGACTCATACGCAAGAGAGATAGCCTCGACTATCCCCTTGCTAATAGTCTGTTTGGAGGCTGGAAGACCTTTCTTAGGTGATCCAAAGCAGACAAACAACTGATCAGATTTTCTCCACGGGGCAGCTCTGTGGACATAAGTGTCCAGTGCTCGCACTGAACACAAGAGATTCAGTTTTTCCTGGTCCGAAGAGGCAAACGGAGGAGGATAGAAAGCCTGCAGTACAATAGGCCTCGGAAT